CTCGCTTGGGTATGAGGCGCGTTCTCAGTCGGGCGTCATGGATGCCAGTCGCCACTGACCCTTGCCAGATGGCGTCGTTCGTCCATCGGTCTTCTTCACCGTTGGTGGACAAAGAAGCACAGGAGCAGATGGCGTTGCGCGCGGTCTGCCACCGTCGCTACCGTACCGGACCCGGACCGTGGTGATTGGTGTTCGGGTTCACGCCTAAATCGCGGCTGGTCTTTCTGTTCCGCTCCGCATTCGGACCGATCGCGGATGCGCGTGTCGAAGATGCATCAGCACCTCGAATGGCCGGTGAAAAACTTGATTCCCGACGATTGAAGAACGCGTTGAGACGGCATCACTGATGTGTGACGCCGATGACAGAGGAAAATCGGCCGCGTTCAGCGCCGACGGAATAAGGCGTAGTCTCGAGCACAAACGGTGGCTGAGGAAACAACGTCTGAACTCGTCCGGAGAACCGCCGCCGTCGTCCACCGGCAACTAGGTGGACGGGGGTGGACGGCGGTAGATCGGCCGAGCCAATGGCCTTGCGGCAGCGCGTCTGAGTTGCCGGTCGGTCAAACGGGTGCGCGGCGGTGCGGGTAGGCATCAGGTTGAATGACCGCCCGGCGTCGAGGCGACAAGGCGACTCCAGAAGTCACCGCCGTCACCGACACCGGCATAACCGCCCGCAAATGGACCACTGAATCCGCGAACAAAGGCTGACCTCCGACCCGCGTCCCCTCCTCGTAGGCGGCATCATGCGTGCCGTCGAGTTAGTGTGCGTTTCTCGCTACTGGCGCGTGGACACTACGGTCATCGGCCGAGCGACCACTTGTTGACCATGCTGTGTTTTCTAGGTAGAACGGGCTGACGTCGGACGGTCGACTCGACGCACGCCCAGCTGAGCAATGATGACGTTCCGGGCCGGTGCAGTTGTGCTGCTGTTTTTATGGATTTGCCCCCTGAACGGTGAGCAATTTTTCATGCCATTAATTCCATGCTAATCGTGTGCCAGTGTCATCGACCACAGCGGTAATCCAGCCCTTTTGGTCCACGTTGGCAACGTGTGGTTTGTGCCGCAATGTCAGCCACGCCGTAAACATAGACACGTTTGCTGATGTTCAGATATTGCGACAGACGCAGTAGCTATGCAGCAAATCCGTGGAACCACAAATCAGCTTCAGTCCGTTTCGGTATGGACCGAATCACGAATTGACTTCAGTCTTAGGGCCTGGGACGATATAGTAGCAATGAATGTCAGCACCCGCAGTTCAGCGTTCGCCACCTCCCCTTGTCCCTGCATCTACCAATACGTCGATGAAGCATGCGCTTCTGGTTGATATGAATAACATGGTTCATAACAGCGGATGTGAGCTTAGCAACAGGTTAATCCATTCGTTTTCAACGACAGCTATTCCTTTTGGGTTGTGGACACAGCTTCTTCGGGAGACAGGCCTTTCCACCTGTTCTGGTCCACAGGTAAACGAACAGCTATTGACTTCTGCAGTATAAACTACGAGCGTTACAAAGCACCATAGGATAAAGCATAGGCAAATTCTGGCAGACGTGAATTCCGAACTTCCATTCATTTCCAGATACAGTACATATGGCAATGGTTTCAAAAACTCATTCTCTGTCTTATTTATTAGTCGAAGTGATGTTAGCTGAAATTTAATCAGAAGACCAATGTTAAATGCAGCTAATTTGTTCATCAATGGTTGAGGAACCAAACAGAGAAAGAGAGTGTCGCTACCGATCCGATACTGTCATCGCGGCACAGCTGAAGAGATCGGCAACAACCCTCCCTGTCACGACAAAAGTGGATTGTTTCTTTCCGGTGATTAACTACATCATTTTTTGAGATATGACAGTAGAAGACATCGTATCGATCTTCCCGTGTTGGATCTATGGCCGTTAGATACTATCACGATTATTTAACTTCTACAGTATTCGGTGAACGTTCCTCGGCAAGGTACAAAAGCGTGAATCTCTCGAGAGCTCATCAATTAGTCGTTTCGTTTTGTTTGGCAATGGGCTTAATTGCATAATTGATTCTTATTATTGCCTAGGCGTTTTACATACGCAAAGAGGAACATGAGGTCGTCCGAACAACAAACAAATGCTGCATATTCGGCTGTTCTGAAAAAGGCGCCACGATGCTACTAAACGTCATCCACTAAAATTGCTTTACAGATTTCTTCAACGGTCTCTTCATGAGGTTCATGAGATTCGGTTATATTTAGGTCCAGTTATGAGGTGTTTCATTTGCCTCATTCCTTTCCATGAGAGTTATGAGAGTTATTTTGAACAAAGAATAGTCATGTTTCCCGAAAGTGCTTAGTAGCTCATCCAAAACAGATACAGCGTATGGTGATTCATTTCACCTAAACTTTTCCTACGCTTGACTTCAATCAGATCAGTAGCAGATCCATATTACATGGAACGATGATTAGTAAAATTAATGAAAGATAAAATAGAAAAGTTTCGCATGTTTCATATGCCAGATTTTAAGCCTTCACCACTGAAATGATCGGAACGATAATAGCTTCTTTTCATTTTCGAAAATAATTCTTCAGGATCCGCCAGTTCTTGCGTCTAACTCCCCCCCCCCAGCAGTTGCCTTCCTTGGAGTGTTTTATCCTTTACTCTGTGATTAACCACCCTGAAATTTTTCGTTCACAGTTGGAGTGTCATTCATCATCTCGTCATAGAGTTTACAGCTTTGAACGAAAGTGAGAATTCAAGAACACTGCATAAAACTGTATGCGCATTCGAGAGTGAAACGGCAAGATTTCTTAAGAAATGATTTTATGTATGTCACGTTCATAGTGGAATCGAAAATTAACTAATAAGCGCCATCTGTT